AAAAACATACCTAAAGTTGTACTTCATTTCATTCACACATGTTTAGGTAACCCTTTATTATTAGTCTGTCTACACCGTCAAAGTTCAAAATACTCTGTTTCAAGCCAACAACAGTTTCTTTTTTTTAATGTTTTCTTTAGATGAGATTGACAATTCCAGACCTTACATTATCCAAATGCAGTAGTGAAGGTGTATAAAGTTTAAAAACACAGTGGACCACTTGCTGCCACATGATATTGCGAGGTGGAACAGAATGTTTAGGTGAGGAAGTAACATTATAACATAGATTAGAAAACCTGCTTCTACTTGGTGTAATTTTTAAAAGACATGGCCTCTCTCTTATCATTTTTATGCAGATTGCCAGATTTACTTGCCCATTGCCAAAAAGGATCACTGCCCCTGACACCCCTACTCGACTCTCTAACTGACATCAAGGCTTGGTTGTCCCAAAACTTTTTAAAACTGAAGGAAGCAAAGACTGAGGTGATATTGTTTGGAATCCGACAGTACCCTCATTGATGTGGGACCCCTCAAAAATAATGTGCGCCCCACAGTCACCAACCTTGGCGTCACCTTAGAAAGTGATTTTAAATTTGGCAAAGATCAATGGTGTTTTAAAATCAACTTTTTAATTATTTGGGGCTTTTATCCAAAGTCAAACCGTTTTTATGTTTTTAAACTTTTTGAACAAGTTTTTTCTGACAGCTCACAAAACACGCTCCATTGACTACAGTTAGTCCAAAACTCTACGGCACGACTTTTAACAGGAACCAAAAGAAGAGAGCGCATTACTCCATTTCTTGCATCTTTGCACTGGCTTCAAGTTAATTTTAGATTAGATTTTAAGATTTTATTGTTTGTTTTTAAAGCTTTGAACGGACTGGCCCCACGATACGTCTCGGACCTCCTCCAAATTTACATCCCCCGTGCGTTGTTTGAGGTCCGAGGGCCAGCTCCAGCTCGTGGTGCCTAAGACCAGACTTAAAACCAGGGTGGACAGGGCCTTCTCTGTGGTTGACCCCAAGCTCTGGAACGCTCTGGCCCCACACGTCCTAACAGCCCCCACAGTGGAGTGTTTTAAGTCTCGTCTTAAAGCTCACTTTTATTATCTGGCTTTTAACACCGCGTGAGTTGTATCCTCTGTGTCTTTTATTTATATTTGATTTATATATTGCTCTTCTATGGTTTTTGCTTTTATTTTATTTGACTGGTTTTATTGTTTTAAGCCTAGTATGATTAAATCTGAAGGTTTATTATTGGTTGTTATAAGTATGTATTTGTGCAGCGCTTTGGAAGCTGTTTATGAAATGTGCTATATAAATAAATAAAGTGGACTGGATTGGATTGGAGAAGATAGGCCCTTTAAAACACAATAATGTAGATGACCACACTTTTTCTCACTAATTACCCATGAAGTCATTTCCATAAATAATAGCTCCTGTTTATTATGGAGGCTCCATCTGTCACACTGGAGTAATCAAATGGGCACACTGACTTTGACTAATGGCTCCTATGGGTAGCGACTGGCACCACAACTAGCAGAGTGCAGCAGCTCATCACGGACCTGTCCATCCAAACTATTCACCATGTAACTCCGGGCAATCTACACACTCTGTCTGGATACTAGCATGTGCTTAATGGGCTCAGAGATCATATTTACTCAAGTCAATTTAACAATTATATGCTCCGTTTGAAAGTGGTCTGTTATGTCCCCCACCATGTTACGCTCCAGCTCACAGTGCTTCACTAATAATTGCTCCGTTTGATTTGAGTCAAATTATGAACTAAAAAAATCATAATCTGAAACACTGAAGCACAAAATGTTTAGAGGAATGCATATTTTACTGTTAATTAAAGCACTTATTCCATGCGTTTTGGTGGAATTTGTACCATGTATTTATGGCTTCCACTGCTTTGTTTTTCAGTGTGTCCGCAGATGCAGTCCCAGGGGATGATGAGAGGATGAGGAGAGTGAAGGGGACAATGGGAGAATGAGGAGAGAGAAGAGGATGAGGAGAGTGAAGGGGACGATGAGAGGATGAGGAGAGTGAAGGGGACGAGGAGAGTGAAGGGGACGATGGGAATCAGAGAGGGGGAGGAGGAGGGGCACAACACAAACCGAAGTGGACAATGTAGTTTAAATTGGGCAGACCGTGGGCTCTGATTGGACGAGGAGGAGGTGTCTTTGGAGTTGAGGTGATGAAGGCTAAGGAGCAGGTGAAATCTGGAGAGGTGGTGAGGTAGACGGGAGCAAAGTTAGGTCTTCCAGAATGAATTTACGCTAGCTCCATTTCATGCCAACTTTTGGGTATTTCACTTTGTTTTCAATTGAACTACAAGAAACAAAAGGGCTAAGGTGTTAAGGGGTAAGTAGTGTAGTCTGAGAACTAAAGTAACATGAACAGCAGTAAAATATACAGAGTGGACCCAGAACTGACCAGGCACCAAAGAGAGTAGAGACAAAAAACAACAAAAAACATGATGTTATAAATAGTAAAAGCAGAGAAATGCTATTACTTGCAATGCATTAACCAATTACTAAATGTGGCATAGAGCTAATCTGGTCAGACAGTTTCACTGTTAATGGTGCTAATGGAATCATAATCTTGCCACAAAAAAGAAAAGATTCTGTGGTGCTAAAAGAAATAAAACATTTTCATCTAAATTTTTGCCTTAAAGCCTCCCCACACTCAACCACTGTGTGTCATTGGTAGTGAACACACACATGCTTCTGAGTGGTACAGCGTGTGTGTGTGTGTTTGTGTTTATATTGATGAGGAATGATGGAGCTGAGCACACATGACAGAAGTCTTTACATGATCTGACGCTGCCCACAGCCGACAGACACTTAATTATGACTGAATAAAGAGTCACAGCTAAACTGTCTCCACTAATAGCACGCACTTAGCGGTGTCATACAGAGATAAAACGCAGATAACACTTGTGACAAGTTAAAGGCACACTGACAGATGTTTCTCTTGCTTTCTTACAACATATTAAGTGTTTTGTTTTTTTTTTACATTAAAAAACATACTTTAAATGAAATCTTGCCATATTTCCTGTGCATATGTTTTTATTGCAAAAAAAAAAAAAAAAAAAAAAAGATTATTGGGTGGTCTCCTACTTGACTCCATGGAGATGGCTATCTTTTGTTTTGTTTTCCATTTTGTGGAACATGGAGAATAGAAGATATTAAACCCTTTACCATAGACCCATAATTACAGAGAGAATGGGGATAATTTTTCAATGTAAAGTCAGTTGGTGCCAGCATCAGCGGAGCGGAAAGTGCCCCCATGCTCTCTTCCTATTTGCAACGTGGTGGCTAGAGAGTTAGCGTTCTCATTTATGTATAAAGTTTATGCCATCCACCTTAAAACGTACATACTACACTTTTAATTCAAAAACTGTCATGTTGTCAATGTGAAAACACCAGTAGAGGGCGCTAAAACTGCATATGCTGGCACAATGAAAAGGGGAGATATTTGTGTGAACATCAAAAACAACCAGTGGTTGTATGAAGTACTCAGTTTTGTTACTTATGTGAAAGTACAGTTACAGGGGCAAAAAGTTACTCAAAAGTAAAAGTATCACATGAAAAATCAACTTAAGTAAAAGTACTAAAGTACCTGTTTTAAAATGTAGTATGTATGTAAATGAGTTAAAGGATGTAATCTAGTGATTTAGATAAAGAATTCAGCTGATTTTAAGTGATTCAGATGATTTCTTAATTTTTTCTAGCTGTTTCTGCATATTTGTTTTGCTCAAAATGGGACATTAACTCAAATTAAATGTGCTAAAAAAGTCTCAGCCATTGCAAAGTACTTTTTACTTTTAGGTCCAGATCTTACATGTAGTGGAGCAGTACAGCGTAGGGATGGGCATTCGATGTAATCGATTGTCGAGAGAATTAACGATCGATTATCGATTAATCATTAACGTTTTTATATTAAAATGATCATCATTATTATTACTATCTGCACTCCTAATCTGCATAAATAAATTCAACTTTACGACATATAAACCGTAACCACTCTAGAGTCACATCAGCCCGTTTATTATAATGTGTTTAATTCAGTTTTGCGCAACTCTCACAGAAACGAAACTTAAAACCGCATCGCTAATTTGCATAAACTCAGCGAAGATAAAACTACAGCTCTTGTGTCGCTGATGCGGTTCAATTTCTGTCAGATTAAAAGACATGACGCAGTGGAATACAGGTTTGTGTGATCATATTTGCGTTTGTCAAAACCAGGACACCGTACGGGGGTGGGAGGTGGGGACTCGTCATCGACGTTACACGACTCTCACCTGGCAAAACTTTTTCCCACTGGACACCGAAACATATGTTCCTGCTTTGTAAACTGTGCACATGGACTCACACTTGTCCCGACCGGAACGGAAAGTGTGTAATTTCTTGTACAAATCATCGTTAAATACGCATTTGTGCTTCGGTACGTTGCAGACTGACCGACTGTTTGTGTCTCGCTCCTTCTGATGCAGAGAGACACATGTACGGACCCCTGTTTGGTCACACTACTCACAGCAACCTACATTCGGTTTGTCGATTAAAATTAACGTAATCGATGAAATTCTTAATGATCAATTATCGATTAATCGACTAATCATGCCCATCAAATACACATTCTCAAATATAGTTAAGTAAAAGTAAAAAGTATCCACTGTAAAATTGACTACCTAAAATCTTAATTTAAGTATTGTACTTTTACTTAATTCATTACTTTCCGTGACTGAAAACAACAGATATTTTTAGTTAAACACAAAATATCACTAGAGCTATGTTTGTGATGGGGACACAGCATTATAACATGGTAAAAAAAAAAAAAAAAAAAAGCTCAATAGTCACAATAGTCAGTTCAGCATATAATTGGCCTCTAGCCTTCAAACAGACTAAATAACTGTGGCCTGAAGGACAAAGTACAAACGGAACTTAAGCCAAGTTGTTGTTGATGTTGTGTTCTCTCTTGACTTTTGTAGACTGACGGCGCTCTCCCTCTTGGCACGCCATTAATCTGGTGTGATGCGGTAGAGATTGCGGGCTTATGGGAGCAGCGCCTTGGACGTGGAAGTGAAGGCAGCAGCACTCCATCACAAGCAGGAAGCAGCTCAAACTCCAAACACAGGTAAGAAGAAAACAGGATGACAGATTCGGCTTCGACTTATTGCAATCTCCCGGCACATTTTAACCTTCAGAAAGATCAATAATTCTATCTTCTAAATCTTTATGGTTTGCTGTCTTTGCCCAGTTGTCTAACATAGTCACGAAATGTAACTGAGCTTATGTAGAATATTGTGTGGCTGTGTTTGTGATCAGGCACTATTTTAAACTCTCAAATAACAGTAATCACAGGTCAGTATTAGGTCTGTGTTCACCTGAAAAGAAGCAATCAACACTATGAGAACAAGCTAATGGGCAGTCAGGTATGTGTGGCCAGGCTGCCATTACCTCAGCCTGTCATTTGTGAGAAAGCATTGAGCTTGACACAAGTTAAACCACCACAAACTTTTCATCAATACAGAAGATACAGAAGTCCATCAAACTGGGCCCATGTGTTTTGACTCGACTGCTCATTCTGTCCACCAGGTTATTTTGAACTCTGACTAGATTCCTTGGTTTTCCTTATGGACACTTCCTATTTTCTTACTTCTTATTTGTAATTTCATTTCTTTTTAAAGGAAAAGCACATGTGAATGAACATTTAAAATGTCAATATTTTGAGATTATAGTGCCTCGGCAGGTTGATGTCAAATAATCTGCAGGACAGGGAAAAGTACAGCAGTGATCACACGAAAGTACATCTCTATATAAAACATAGATTAAAAATGTACTTCAAATAGACACACACTCGAAATAAAATGACAAATGGACACTAAAAATGTAAGTTTTCATATCCCATAATGTTTCCAAATCCTTTTTTATATATTACTGGTTAAAGAAAAAAAAATCATAACTCTTAAATGATGTGTAAGTGAGAGACGTTTGAAAATATCACTCATTTGAATTATTTATTAAAAACTTTCAGTGCACTGGCTCAAAGTTCTATATGATTAAAAAAAAAAGAACTTAATTCTCAAAGAGGCTTATTTATGGTCCCCAGAATCTCTAAGAGGACTGCAGAGGTCATTAAATCTATTGCTTTGTGGAACAATCTTCTGACTTTTGGAGAGAGTTTTCATTTCAAATCCAGATTAAAGACCTTTTTATTTGACACTGACAAACCACTGCGTTTGAGATCTCTTTTCCAAGGACAATCTGGACTAAGTGGACTGCTGCACATAATAAAAACCAACCAACAAAGACATTAAAACTAGAATTAAAGCTTCTTAGAAATTACGACGAGACTATATTTGAAGCACGATGTTCATAGGATTCTGTCTCTTTGCTCTTTTTTTTTTTTGCTACTAGCTCACAAAATGAATGTGGTTATTATAGACACAAAACACTTGTGTATTTCCCCATATCTAGATTTCATTGATATTTTTGATACAATTTTTAGGTCCTATATTACACTAAATTGACCCTTTAAGACATGTCAGATTTAAGACATGTTAGAATGTTGTTACCTCCTCAAAAACATACCTGGAGTTTGTGTTTTGTTTCATTCACACATGTTTGAGTAATCCTTTATCATCAGTCTGTCTAGATCTCCAAATCTCCAGATGCTCTGTTCCACCTTGTGATGTCATGAAGCAGTAGTTTTCAAGTTAACAGCTCCCTTTTCATTTAGTTCAATAGAGACTGGCAATTAAAAGGCTGAAATCATCCAAATGATTCTAGTGAAGCTGTATGGAGTTAAAAAACACAGTGGAGCACTTCCTGTATTATCACCTGACATCACAAGCTTTCACATCACAAGCAAAAGTTTTGAGAGCAGAACTCAGCCTAAAAATGTGTCAATGAAACAAAACACAAGTAAAAATGGTGTAAGATGGGCCCTTTAATCATCACTCTGTGTACTGGTATACTGGTGATATTATTAGAGTTTGTGTGGTGCATTAACTCGCTCAGATTTTTAATTGAGTGCAGAACATTAAGATGCACCAAATGCTTGAAAAGTACTATGTAAATCAATGTTGATATTGAATTGTACTTGTCCCTGCTTAGCTTTAATTAGTTTGATTGACGTGATATATCCAGTGAGCTGTACCCAGACAGTTCAGTTTTGCCATATATCTGACTCAGTAAAGGTCAAAGAACTGCACACAGAACTGCTCTAATGTGTTTGACAGTTACACCTCACACTGCGGAGAGAGCCTAAGGTCACAGATCTTTAAGAGTCAGATCCCCCCATAATATCTGCGCAGGGACAATTCAAGAGGCTACTTGAATTTTGTATCACAGTACCGAGGCTATGGGAAAGTTGACCTTTTAGATTTTAAATATCATCGGGGCATGTTTTATTACATTTCATTTTTTGTTCGTTTTAACACGTCCCCAATGAGTATCGGAATAATAATGTTAAAGATTATGCATTGTGTTTTCAAATCAAATTTCTGATTACAGATCATTTAAAAAGAGGATTGAAGAGTGGATGAGAGGATGAGGAGAGTGATGGGAAGAAGAGAGGATGAGGAGAATGAAGGGGACGATGAGAGGATGAGAAGAGTGATAGGGCTTATGAGAGGATGAGGAGAGCGAAGGGGGCGGTGAGAGGAGAGAATGAGGAGAGTGAAGAGAGGATGAGGAGAGTGAAGGGGACGATGAGAGGATGAGGAGAGTGAAGGGAGATGAAGGATGGAGGAGTGAAGAAGGATGAGAGAGTGAAGAGGAAGGAGAGTGAAGAAAGGATGAAGAGAGTGAAGGGGACGATGAGAAGACGAGGAGAGTGAAGGGGATGATGAGAGGACGAGGAGAATGAAGTGGACGGTGAGAGGATGAGGAGATTGAAGGGAGAGAGGATGAGGAGAGTGAAGGGGCGATGAGAGGATGAGGAGAGTGAAGGGGATGATAAGAGGATGAGAGAGTGAAGGGGATGATGAGAGGATGAGGAGAGTGAAGGGGATGAGAGGGTGAGGAGAGAGAAGAAACGATGAGAGGATGTGAAGAGTGAAGAAATGATGAGAGGACAAGGAGAGTGAAGGAGACGATGAGAGGATGAGGAGAGTGAACATGATGATGAGAGGACGAGGAGAGTGAAGTGGACGATAAGAGGATGAGGAGAGTGAAGTGGACGAGAGGATGAGGAGGAACATGATGATGGAGAGTGAGGATAAGAGGATGAGGAGAGTGAAGTGGAGAGGATGAGGAGAGTGAGAGATGAGAGATGAGAGGATGAGGATGAGGATGAGGAGATGAGAGTGAAGAGGAGATGAGATGAGAGGATGAGGGATGAGGACGATGAGGATGAGAGAGTGAGATGAGGAGAGAGATGAAGGACGATGATGAAGATGATGAGGATGAGAGTGGATGAGAGGATGAGGAGAGTGAAGAGGAGATGAGAAGATGAGGATGAAGATGAGAGGATGAGGAGAGAGAAGGAGACGATGAGAGGATGAGGAGAGTGATGATGAGAGGACGAGGAGAGTGAAGGGGACGATAAGAGGATGAGGAGAGTGAAGGGGATGAGATGAGGAGAGTGAGGGGAGAGGACGATGATGAGAGGATGATGAGAGAGATGAGGGAGTGAAGGATGAAGAGTGAGGGGGATGAGATGAGGAGAGTGAGAGAGATGACGAGAGTGAAGGGATGATGAGAGATGAGAGAGTGAAGGGGACAATAAGAGGATGAGGAGAGTGAAGGGACGATGGGAGGATGAGGAGAGAGGGGATGAAGAGGACGAGGAGAATGAAGGGGACGGTGAGAGGATGAGGAGATGAGGGAAGATGAAAGGATGAGAGAGTGAAGGGGACGATGAGAGGATGAGGAGAGTGAAGGGGATGATGAGAGGACGAGGAGAATGAAGTGGACGGTGAGAGGATGAGGAGAGTGAAGGGAAGATGAAGGATGAGGAGAGTGAAGGGGATGAGAGAGAGTGAGGGGATGATGAGAGGATGACGAGAGTGAAGGGGATGAGAGGGTGAGGAGAGAGAAGAAACGATGAGAGGATGTGAAGAGTGAAGAAAGATGAGAGGACAAGGAGAGTGAAGGAGAGACGATGAGAGGATGAGGAGAGTGAACATGATGATGAGAGGATGAGGAGAGTGAAGTGGACGATAAGGAGATGAGAGTGAAGGGGCTGATGGGAGGATGAGAAGAATGAAGGGGACAGTGAGAGGATGAGGAGAGTGAAGGGGACGATGAGAGGAGAAGATGAGGAGAGTGAAGGGGATGAGGAGAGTGAAGGGGACGGTGGGGTGTGGCACAAACCAAATCATCTGTCCAACTGCAATGAGGGCTTAAAGTGGGCAAACCGGGTGCTGATTGGACGAGGCAAAGTATGCAAAGATGGTGTTGAAGGCTGAGGAGCAGGTAAACTCTGGAGAAGCTGTGAGGTAGACAGGAGTGAGGTTAGGTCTCCCAGGCTAAATTTACGCTCGCTCCATTTCAGAGTGTTTGTCTGTGTATGTTTATCTTGATGGATGGCGACCTCGTGACAACATTGTGTGTACAGCTGTTGGCAGCAGTGAGCCATGACTGTATCCATGGCATATTTGTTAATATCCTACAGTAATGTGCCTTTGTGTTCCACCAGTCATTGCTTTAGTCAACAATATCATTACTCATGACTTTGTTTGCTTTGCATCTTGAAAGTAGACCTGTCACAATAATTACTAAATCAAGTTATTGTCCAATATACGAAAGCTGCAACAGTGTTATTTTTCTGTACTATGATAAGATTTGAGCAGTAAAGCTTGAACTGATTACGTTTGTGTTATTAACCATATTGTATATTATAATCGATTTGTTTTGTAAGTTGCAGTGATGTCTTTTTACCAGCTCACAAAATGCATATAGTCATTGTATACACAAAACTACTTTACGAGTTTACTTGTTGTACGTGTGTATTTCCCCATAACTAGTACTTTTTTTTTTTTTTTTTTATCTAGTACGCTTTTCGCTGATATTTTGATACCACTTTACAGGTCTTATATTACACTAAATTGACCCTTGTGAGATTTAAGACATGTTAGAATATTGTTACCTCCTCAAAAACATACCTGGAGTTGTGTTTAGTTTCATTCA